CAACTGAGCAGTCTATCTGCCCGTCACCCTCATGCACACTTCCCCAAGATTTTTTTAAGCATAAGTCTTAAGGACATATTTACCATATTTTCCCATTGGCACCTTTGCAAGTGAGTCTTCTATGCTCTTCTCTGGTAATGAGAAGTTACAGCTGAAAATCATGAAAATAAAAATGTATTCCACATGCTAGTCTCAAGTGAATATCCTTTGAAAATAAAATGTAGCCGGGCTCGGTGGCTCAGCCTGTAATCCCACACCTTTGGGAGGCTGAGGTGAGTGGATTGCCTGAGCCCGCGGGTTCGAGACCCGCCTGGGCAACTTGGAGAGACCCCCATCTCTACAATGAATCAAAAATCAACTGGGCGTGGTAGCACACGCCTGTAGTTCCAGCTACTTGGAAGGCTGAGGCGGAAGGATTGCAGGAGCCCAGCAGGTCGAGGCTGCAGTGGCCAGGAGTGGCCACTGCACTCCAGTCTGGGTGACAGAGTGAGACTCCAACTCAAAAAAACCAAATTATTACATTATTTACAACCTATAGTTGTACGTTTTTATTTATGCATAAAAATGCAGATGCTAATCGTACATGCATACATATGTGTTTGAATATATTCATATATGAAGCTAGTCCTAAGCTTCCTACAAAGGAAATGATAAAATAAGAGTTATTAAAACAAAAGGTAAGATGTAGGAGTTTAATATATGTTTACCAATCCTCTGCACCATATAGTATACTTAAATATTTGAATATAAAGAAAATCTTCCAGTCTCAGATCATACTATAAAAGTAAAATTTAAGTAAAATATCAGAATTTTTTCTATCAAGAGAGATAATTTTTATTTAGGTAGGACTACTGAGTATGAATTTAAATAAAATCATCAGAAATCTCCCTAGTATAGTAAATCATAAATTAGAAATCATGTAACATTTGTCCGCAGTGTTATTAAAATTTTTCAGATAACAAAATCACTGCTCACATACTTCTACCCATGATGCAAAAAGAAAACATAAAAAATATTTTGACATGGGTTTCCAAATAAATAAGCAAATACTTGCATATCTCCAACGCATCAGAAAGGTAGTCAGATCAGGCAGTTCCTAACAAACCATTAAGTGGACTTTGATTTCCTGTAAACTTGAAAAATCATTGAGGAAGCACAGTTCTTGGAGAATTTCAGAACATGGAATAACAGATGTCCCTTTGTGACAGGAATAGAAAGAATCCCAGGCTTCTAAGAAACCATTTCCATTGGAGCAGCCCACCTTCCCAAACCACATTTCAAGTTCTGATTCCTGAAACTGTGTCACTGCTTCATTCACTCCAACTTACCTGGAAGTTTGGCTAATGTGCCATGTCTCTTCACATCCCAGGGCTCTTTCCTTTGCTCCAGACATGTAATAAGATCTGGTTTAGAGACAGCAAGTCCTGTTTAATTAGAAAAAAGTAACATAACTCTTGCGGAGGTTCTTAGATTAAAAAGCTAGTATTTAATCAGTAGAGAACACATTATATAAGATTCTAGAAAATTAACCCCAAAATACGATTTCCCAATAAAACCTTTAGAACATTTGGATAGAATTTTCAATTTATGGGCTTCTTTTTATTCTAAGTTGGAGTCTCACTCTGTCACCCAGGCTGGAGTGCAGTGGAAAGCTCATGGCCACCCCAGTGCTCACCTGCTGGACTCAGGTAATTCTTCCTCAGCCAACCAGGTAACCAGAACTACGGGTATGTGTTACCACTCCCAGATAATTTTCTGATTTAGTGTAGAGATGGGGCCTTGCCAAGTTGCCCAGTCTATTCTTCAACGCATGGGCTCTGGGAGTCCTCTCAACACAGTCTCCTAAAGTGCTGGCATTACATGACTGAGCCACCATGCCTGGTCTTAAATGTGTGAGTTCTTAGTTCAGTACTAGTGAGTCAATAACTTTGGCAACAGTTGGAATCAGATGTGGGCAATGATATCTATGCCACTAAATTCTGAACTTACCAATAATATAGCTAGAAGGACACTGGTCAATTTAAAATAGGGAAGCTTTCATGTCAAAATGAAACATCATTAATTTTTTATTTCTATGTTGACATATTACCAACTTTTCATTAACAGTAGGAATCTGAATTTCATTCATGCAAAGTAAAACTTCCCTGAAAACATTCTACAAATGAAGGATATAAAATCCTTAGTATGAAATAGAATTATGTTTTGAAACTATCCTCACCCAGAAAATCCAGGTTTCTATGGTTCTCTAACATCACAGTCCTGTACAATATTCGCTGAGGGGAGTCTAGGCATTCCCACTCCTCTGGAGAGAATTCTATGGCCACATCCTTGAATGACAACAACCCCTGAAAACAACAAAAACACATATTTACCAAGTTACCATGGCCTCTAGGTAAAGCAAGAATGAAAACAACAGGGTCAAGCTGACACAACAACTATTATTATATTGTAATAAAAAAATTCATAACACAGAAATATCCTCTGGGAGGACTTGGTGGCTCAGCCTGTAGTCCAGTGTTTTGGGAGGCTGAGGTGAGTGGAATGGCTGAGCCTGCAGGTTTGAAACCTGCCTGGGCAAGTTGGGGAGACCTCATCTCTACAATAAATCAAAAAAATTAGCCGGGCATGGTAGCATGCCCCTGTAGTTCCAGCTACTTGGAAAGCTGAGGCGGAAGGATCGCTGGAGCCCAGCAGGTCTAGGCTGCAGTGGCTGAGAGCAGTCACAGCACTCCAGTCTGGGTGACAGAGTGAGACTCCAAATCTAAACAAACAAACAAAAACAAAAATAAACAAAAAACACCAGAAATATTCTCTAATGCATTAAGTGTGGGAAAATAGGATGAAATAAAATCCACTGAGCCAGTGTAGACTCTCTATTTTTGTGAGTGAAACAGCATATAATGGACACCAACACAGGCACGCACATTCTGAATTACTGTTTATATCACACAGAATATGTTACCTATACTGCTCCTAGTAAGTCAGAAGATTCTCATCAAGTTTTAATTTGTACAACGAGTTGAATATCTTCTTAAAATGCAAATTCTGATTCAGAAAACAAGAATTTAGCCTGAGGTTCTGCGCTTTTTTGTTCAGCTGGTGTGTCTCATTCTTTTTTTTTTTTTTGAGTTGGAGTCTCACTATGTCACCCAGACTGGAGTGCAGTGACCGCTCCAAGTAGCTGGAACTATGGGCGCACTCTACATCACCTGGCTAGGTGTGTCTCAGTCTGAGATAGGCTAGAGTGCCCTGGCATAATCACACCTTATTGCAGTCTCGATCTGCTTTGATAAAAGAATGCATCCTCCATAACTTGGGCTCCATAGCATCCCAAGTATTTGGGACAAATTTGTATCAGATGTCAAGCCACACAGGTGGAACACAACATCCATGCTGAGATCTTTTAGCCCAAAGTTATACTAATTTATTATTACTTTTTGAGTTGGAGTCTCACTTTTCTCGCCCAGGCTGGAGTGCAGTGGTATGCTCATGGCCACTTCTGCCTCGATCTGCTGGACTTAGGGAATCCTTCTGCCTCAGCCTCCCAAGTATCTAGAACTATACAAACATGTAATCATGCCTGGCTAGTCTTTGTAACTTTTTTTTTTTGAGTTGGAGTCTCACTCAGTCGCCCAGACTGGAGTGCAGTGGCTGCTCCTGGCCACCACAGCCTTGACCTGCTGGGCTCCAGCGATCCTTCCACCTCAGCCTTCCAAGTAGCTGGAATTACAGGCATGCGTTACCACACCTGGTGGATTTTTTGATTTATTGTAGAGATGAGGTCTCACTGCCCAGGCGGGTCTCGAACCTGTGGGCTCAGGCAATCCACTCACTTCAGCCTCCCAAAGGCGTGGGATGACAGGCTGAGCCACCAAGCCCAGCTTAGTTTTTGTAATTTACTGAAGAGAACAGAAGAGGCTATGTAGAGAGCAGTGTCTGATAGACCCATTGAATATCACAGGAAGAACAAAAATAGTTGAAACAAACTCACTCGGCAGGACCATCACAAGGACAGCCGCATGGTTTGCAAGTTGTACACATATGACATTCCTTCTTATCTGGGACACATTTATTTACCTGAGAAGAAGCCATTTTTTTCTTTTTCCTCCTACTTCTCTGGGATTTCTTCTCAGGTGAGATTAATCAAGCTACACCTGAGTTTTGAAAATATGCCTTTACTTACTTAAAAATTAAATGGAATATATTTATGTTTTGTTAGTATTACCACCCTCTTGGGAGTCTCTCGCTTGCTCTCCTCTTTGCCTGAGGTTCTCTTTGATTTGATTCTGCCACCATCTCCCTGAGGTGGGTCTACTTTGTCATTTAGGATTGTTTTCCTTCCTTACAAATGCAAGATAATCCAGAGGACAGACATCAGTTCTCCCTTTGCCCCTCAAGAACAGTGATGTGTCTACAAGTGCACAGAAACCAGTCACCAAATTAAAATAAATGTTAAGTTACTATTTTAATAATATAAAACTTATACCTGCCGGGTTCAGTGGCTTAGCCTGTAATCCTGTGCCTTTGGGAGCCTGAGGTTAGTGGATTGCCTGAGCCTGTGGGTTTGAGACCTGCCTGGGCAACTTGGTGAGACCAATCTCTACAATAAATCCAAAATTAGCCGGGCATGGTAGTGCATGCCTGTAATTCCGGCTACTTGGAAGACTGAGGCAGAAGCATCACCGGAGCCCAGCAGGTCAAGGCTGCGGTGGCCGGGAACGGCCACTGCACTCCAGTCTGGGTGACAGAGTGAGAGTTCAACTTAAAAAAAACAAACTTAGACCTAATCAATCCAAAATGGGACAGTCAGCTCTCAAAAGTTTGACATAACTCCATTTTAGACCAGGGATTGGGGTGGGGGTATCTCTGGCCTCTTTGTGTGTTTCCATGTAGCTAAAATAATTTTGAAATGCTGACAAGGTTGGCACCAGTATGCAGATGTACAGACTAACTGTGGGAAAGTGGAATTATGTGCACTAACTCTGTTTTGTTTAATAAAGGAACAAGAAGACTGTGAACCAAAAAGATAATTCACCACTTTCCAGGACTCCTCTCATTGCCCAGATGTCTGCAAGTCTAAGCCACCTCTAGACCTTAGCCGCTCTCGGTCCCACAGCCTGGATAAAAATTTTGAAAAAGCACACATGACCCAGGAGGGGTCCCCTCATTTCCTTGGTTATAATGTCCCCACTAAATAACGTCACAACCCCTACTCCTTCTCCTTATGTCGACAGAACCGGATTTGGACCTGGTGACACAAATGGCCAATGACACTAATGAGAGAACCTGGAGATTTCCACCTACATAATTCAGATAAGGCCACTGCAGGACTGTCACCCAACAGCACCTGTCCATGCCCAACTTCCCCTCCCCCCTTCTCAAAGCCTTTCCTCCCAGGCCCTCCAGGATCTCCACACGACGAGTCCTTGCTGGGGTTTCTAGACTCAAGAACCGCTGTTGGCCGAGAGTCCTCCTTAACGTTGCGATGGAGCTACCGTTTAACTCTGGGGAGGAGAGAGGGAGTGGACCAGGATCATAGCCTCCCCTTCCCTTCACCAGCCCCCAACCCCGCAGGTCGGATCCTCTCCACAAACCTCGCGGATTCGGCAAACGTGGAGATGGTGAGCTGCACGGAGTGCTCAGCAGGCAATGTCGCTGCAGGGTCAAGACCACAGGGTCACAGCCCAGGCCCACCTACACTGAGCGGACCGGGCCGAGTCACCAGTGGGGATGGGTCCAGGCTCGGAGCTCACGGAGAGGCCAGTCCCTAAAGAACCGGTCATCCTGGTCCATCCCCACTCCCCCTCTCTGGAAACCTCCCCGCACACTCACCACCTCCCGCCTTCCGAGGGTCTCAGCGTCCACCCTACGAATCTCCCAGGACTTGCACGTCACAGCAAAACACAGGATAAAATGAAGATACGCGAGGCTTGTGGAGGAAAATAAGAGCCCGGAAGCTGCCCCCTCACTTCCAGCTCCTGTCTGATTGGCCATTTTAAACCCCAGCATCAGTTGATTGTATAAAACGCCAGGTGATCTGGTCTGGAGTGCCAGGACATGCAATCACACACAGCCTGCATGAGGCAAGAAAATGTTGAGATTTCTCCCAGCTCCGGAATGAGGTAGGAACTTGTGCTGAGGGGAGGGCCTTACAAGAATTGCAGGGAATACTGTCGTCTGCATGACTCCCAGTTGGTGGGTTGTGGAGCTGCAGGACTACAATCCCAGCATGTCCCGGGAAAGGCGGTGTAGACTTACGGTCCAGCGACCCACGAATCAGGAGCCACAAAAACTCCCACCATGCCCCAAAGGGGGCCAGAAGCGTCCTCCCCCACCACTCTGCCCAGATTCTGGGGCAAGGAGAAATCTAAAGGTATTTTTGTCTGTGGAGTCCTTACTGTTTTGCACCTCCTGTCACTCAAGACCAGAAGGGCGGGGCCTGAAGGCTTTTCCAATTAATGGATGTTGAAGTCTGAACTGGTCGATCAGACGGGAGCTGGAAGTGAGAGGGCAGTTTTTGGACCTTCGTCTCCTGCGCCTGCACTGAGTTAGATCATCCTTTCTGCAGTGTACTATACTCTAGCACCCACGTGTGTCTTCACTTCAACCTCTGTTGCCCTGTGATCTGCAGGACGTGAAAGCCCTTTGTGAGGCTGCCAGGACATCTAGAAGCTGGGAGAAGGTAAGTATGCCGTGGGATGTCACGAGAGGGGAAGTGGATAGACTCGGATGACCGACAGTGGTGGGACCAGCCTCTCCTCAGGTGACAGTGAACACGTCCCCACCGGCAGCTGTGCCTGGTGCCCTCGGAGTAGGTGAGGCTAGACCAGGACCCTGGGGACTTGTACCATCCGCGACCTCACCAGCTGAGCCCTCTGACAACAACCCCTCTTTCCACATGTTCGGGACCCAAAAAAGTGGTGGAGAGGATTCGTCTGGCTGGCGGGGCCAACCGAGGGAGGGTCTGGGGTATTATTCCCCAACCCTCCTTCTCTACCCCAAGGTTACATCATAACGTTGAGGAAAAAATTTCTCTCTTTATAGCTGTGGAGATCAATAGATTTCCACCAGAAAGTGTGAAACATTAATTGTTGAGTTTCACAGGTGTATGAAGGCATCCATTACATTTGTTTTTTCAGTCAATCTCACTCTGTCACCCAGAGAGGAGTGCAGTGGCACACAAACGTTCAACCCAGAATCCAGGGATCCTTCCGCTTCAGTCTTTCAAGTACCTAGAACTACAGGCCCACGCTACCACAACCATCTAATTTGTATTTTATTTATTGTAGTGAGAAGGTCTCAGCAAGGTGCCTGGACTGGTCTTGAACATGTGGGCTCAGATGATCCACTCGCCACGGCCTCCCGAGCCTAGGCAATAATGCTTTCAATAAATTATTTTTTAATGCTGAGTTTAGTAATAAGAATATAACTCTCCATGGACAAACAATGAATTTAGCCATATGAATTGGTTACAGTTTCCTGTTACTTGGGTAAATAATGAGGAGTAGGTCTGGAGAAACACATTGGTAGATAACAGGTTTACCACCATATTACAAAGCCACTAGAGAAAACAGATCAAGTGGTCAATGTCCCTACCCCCCAGAAACTTCCAACTGTTGTAAAAGGGTAAATGGTGTTGAATCAGCACCATTAGTCAGGACAAGGAAAGGAGTTGTCCATGGTACCTGACATTTTGTTGCATTCTGGTGTTACTGCTTAAGAGCATTCAATACAAGCCATGCTCAGTGGCTCAGCCTGAAATCCCACACCTTTGGGTGGCTGAGGTGTGTGGACTGCCTGAGCCCATGGGTTTGAGACCGGCCTGGGAAACTTGGCAAGACCTCATCTCTACAATAAATCAAAATGAGCCGGGTGTGGTAGTCCACGCCTGTAGTTCCAGCTATTCAGAAGACTGAGGCAGAAGGATTGCCGAGGCTGCAGTGGCCGGGAGCGGCCACTGCACTCCAGTCTGGGTGACAGAGTGAGACTCCAACTCAAAAAAAAAAAAGGGGGAGAGCATTCACAGACAGAATTGTTGCTGTTTCATTATTATATCTGTTGGTTTGTCATTGTTAAAAATAACCACATAGGTTTTCTTTGTTGTTTTTTCTCTTGTGTCCAGGATGCAGTGGAATGGGACACTCATGGTCACTGCAGTCTTGACCTGCTGGCCACAGCCAATACTTCCACATCAAACTTCAGACATGTGCTATCATGCCCAGCTAATTGCTTCATTTATTGCTGAAATAAAGTCGTGCCAAGTTGACCAGGCTGGTCTGTAACCCCTGGGCTCAGGCAATACTCTCACCTCATCTACCAAACAACTGGAATTACAGGTGTGAGCCATGGTGCCCAGCTATCCCCCATGTGATCCTAGCATGATGACATTTTCAACCTGAGGGTTGCCAGATATGTTCGTGAAAAGTTGAATTCAGAAGGGAAGTCACCTGTCCTGCTCTGTTTGGGTGTGGTCAGGCAGATAAGCCAGTGGGGTCATGTATTCATTGCTGTTGCAGAAATTGCCAGTGTTTCTGGCAAGGGAGGGCACTTGTGGGAAGGAAAGAATTAACTCACACTTTGCACTCCTTGCAGGAGCTCCTTGTTTTTGAATCTGTCTCCTGTGACAAAAGACAGAGAAAAGTAGACTTTATTGCCCTTTCTGGACCCTCCTGCCTGTGGGTGTGGTGGTAGCAAGGAGAGGATTGTGCTTATGTGAAAGGCATATGCTGGCTGTACATCATAGCTTATGCCAGGAATCCTATCACTTAGGGAGGCTGAGGTGAGAGGATTGCTTGAGATCAGGAGTTTGAGACCAAGCTCTACAACACAGCATATCCATGTCACTATATAAATAATGAAAGAAAAATTAGCCAGAAGTATTAGTAAAGACCTACTGTAGTTCCATCTACTTTGGAGGTTGCGATGGAAGGATTACCTGAGCCCAGGAGTAAAGACTGGTGAGTAATGATATTGCCACTTCACTTCTGCCTGGGTGTCAGAGTGAAACTCTAACAAAAAATAAATATGTTCAATTTAATTTTAAAATAAATAAAGACATATTTTCAACATGTAGGTGTGACTTGTCCAGATCATCTCACCTGAAAAGAAATCCCAGAGGGCCATGTTGGGTGACTCAGACTGTAATCTGAGCATTTTGGGAGGTGATGAAGAGAGGACTGCCTGAGCCCACGGGTTTGAGACCAGCCCAGGGAACTTGGCAAGACCTCTTTTCTACAATACATTAAAAATTGGCCAAGAGGCTGGGCTCGGTGGCTCAGCATATAATTCCAGCACTTTGGGCGGCCAAAGTGAGTGGATTGCCTGAGTCCGCGGGTTCGAGACCTGCTCAGGCAAATTGGTGACACCTCTTCGCTACAATAAATCAAAAATTAGCTATGCATAGTAGCATGTCCCTGTACTCCTACGTGCTTGGAAGGCTGAGGAAAAAGTATCACAGGAACCCAGCAGGTCGAGGCTGCAGTGACTGGGATCATGCCACTGCCCTCCAGTCTGGGAAACAGAGTGCAACTACAACTCAAAAAAACAAAAAAATTGGCCATAGTTCAGCCTGTAGTTATGGTTACTTGGAAAGCTAAGGCAGAAGGATTGCTTGAGCACAGCAGATCATTGCTGGGGTGGCTGTGAGCATGTCAATGTACTCCAACCAGGGCAAAGGAGTGAGACTCTAACTCAAAAAAATTCCAGAGAAGCTAGAGGAAAAGAAAAAATATATCTTGTTCTCAGGTAAACATGTCCCTGGTCAGAAGGACTGTCATTTTTAAAACTTGTAAACCTCACTGCTACCTGTGATGGTCTTGCCTAATGAGTATTTATCAACTATTTTTGTTCTTCCTGATATTCAAGGGCTTTGAAGGATGAGTCTCCCTACATACCAGAGTCTCCACTGTTTTCAGCATCCATGCTGCCTAGTTGCCATGAACTGTCCTCACCAGGAACAATGACCTGTAGTATTAACAATGTTCCCTGTTGTTTGGGGAGCATAGCATGTTGTGGATATCCAAGTTTCCCATTGGAAATCGGGTAGATCCTCAGATACAAGCAAAGGATAGGATTGTGAACAATGAATATTTCACATAATGCTGGGCTCAATGG